ATGCTGGTTGGCCCGGCGAAGCCGCCAGGCGGAGACCGAAAAGATTGTCATGGCGGCGGACAAGACAGCGCAATATTGAGCGGCTGGTTGATCTGCAAGCGGGAGTGATGAAGATGGAACTTGTACACATACCTCAGCGCACCTTTCAGGTTGGCCTTGACATGCAATGATACCCATGGTCGATCATTGACTCTCGTATGTGATGTTGTGAAAAGTGATGTTGTGAAATATTAGTTCGGATGTGATTCTTGGGTTTGACAAGGTGTCAGGACCACCAAAACGTCGACAACATAAAGCTACGAGGACGAATGCTGCTCAGTCAACGCCATTATTGTCTGTATCAACATGGATTCCCATTCGTCTCACACCAGCCAGCATGATCAACTAAAAACTGCAATTTTGGTTGTATATTCTACCCAAACAGGACAGATTTTAGATTCTATTCATGATCGTGCTTGACATTTGAGTTGGGTATAATCCAGAATAGTGAGAACGGTGTTCTTGACATTTCAGTCTCTCATGACGATATAGGTCCAACCGAGACCCTCTCCCGTGCCTCTTGCTGGGCTTTCTTCTGGCTGTGGCGTTCCACACGCCGTTTCTCCGTCAGTATATTGGCAAACCTGCCCTTCGCCCCGTGCTTCATCTTAGTGATCATATCAGTTGCCTTACCCTTGTCCACGTCATCAGCTGTCAACGGTTCTTGCTTCGTACGCAGCTTGTTGAGGAAGTCGAGTTGTCCCTGAGTCGGCGGCCCCTTTCTCCAGCGCTGATACCGGTGGATGAATACATGAGGAAACACTTCCGAGGCGTACTTGTCACTGCCGTGCACGGCGTCGGTGAACGTGGCAGCCCTTAAGAGTTCTCTCGGAGCAGCAAATGGTGACTTGGAAATACCAGGCGGAAGGGCCCTGACCTCAACAGCCTGCCAAGCTGGCTGGTTTTTCCCAGCTTCGATATCCAGCTTGGAAATCCTGATGAAGCTGCCGTTGGGGGCACAGAGAACGTATTTGTCCAAGCCAACCTGTACCCAGGCATAATGGCTGATGGCCCGAATGTGCTTCTCCCCCGATGCATCCTCGATGAGATCGAACACAGAGTTGTAGTCGGTAAAAGTGACCGAGCCCGCGGACACGGATTGAGAGCTCGAGGACGCGTCGTAAGCTTGGTGCTGTCGAATCTTTTCTGCCTCTCTTCTCTCACTAGTCTTACGCATATCCGCCGTCGACGCCTGGTCAACAATCTCTCCCGGATCAAGGCCAAAAAGCGTCGGTGTTGTGACGATGCCAGTCTCAAGGCTGGAAACCATGTCAATGACATGGCAGTCCGTCTTTCCTTTGTGCAACCTCATGCCCCTGCCAATCATCTGTACGAGTAGATTTCGAGATCGCGTTGGTCGAGCGAGAATGACGCAGTCAATGTTTGGGATATCCGTCCCCTCGGTGAACACTCCGCAGTTTACAAGCACGGGAAACTCCCCCCCACGAAATGCTTCCAGGATGGCACTTCTTTCCACTTTTGGCGTATCACCAGTCACGAATCTTGCGTCGAACCCGTGTTTGCGGAACGTTTGCGTCAGTCCCGCGACGTGAGCCAGGTCGACGCAGAACACGAGAGTCGACTTTCTTTCTACTGCCTTTGCAAGCCAGCTTCGCACGGTGATTTCATTAATCTTCTCCGTGTTGACGGCCTTGGAGAGTTCTCCGGCTTGGAAGTCGCCGTTGGCACCGCTCCTGACTTTGGATATGTCGGCTGTCGATTCGACTGTAGTGAAGATAACGTCTGATAGCCATTTATCGCCGATCATGTCTACGTAGTCCTTGTGGTAGACGATCTCGTCAATAGCAGCACCGAGTTTCAGGCCGTCGAACCGTGAAAAGGTGGCCGACACGCCCACGAGGGAGGGAGAGTCGGCCTGCTTGGTGTCAAGGCCGAAATGACGGAGTACGCGCATGTATCCGGGAGCGACGATGTGATGAGCCTCGTCAACGAGGACCAGCTTGAATCTCTCCGGGTCGAACTTATCCAGTCGTTCTCCGGATGTGATGCTCTGGAGGCTAGCAACAGTAATGTCTGCAGTGCCCGTGGCATGCAGAGACCCCATCTCAATATCGACTGACTTGTCTGGGTACGCATTGGTGCAGTGCCTCGCAGCTTGCTCCACGAGCTCTCTCCTATGGGCGAGGATGAGAGTCTGCGTGGCGCGGTCTTGCCTTGGCTGTATCCTTTCTATCAATTGAGTAAAGATGACCTGCCGAGTATTATTAGTCTTGTTCTACATGCGTTGCCAGAAAATAGTCTGAGCTCACAGTCTTGCCGCTGCCAGTGGCCAGCGAAATGCCCAGTCTTTTATGTCCATTTTGCAGGGACTGTAAAACCGACTGGATGCATTCCTCTTGGTAGCTTCTCAGCTGGATCTTGGTGCTTAAGAACCGTTGAGTGTGAAGAAGCAGGTTCTTGGGGATGAACCGTCCCGCTTGGCTCAGGATTCTACCTGTTGTTTGTGTCCTCAGTATCTTCCCAAAGAAAGATGACAACATTTTTAATCGATTCCCATGTTGATGGCGAGCTAGAGGATTAGAATCACCGTCGATGCAGTCCGGGAACCCAGGAGAATTGGCTAGGATTGCAGATATCTTCCAATCAGAGACTGAGAACAAGACCCATAAATTTAGCTGGCAATCGGCACGGGTACCTACCTACCTACCTAGGTGGCTACAGTGTACCTACCACCCATAACGCATCCACACAGACAATCGGGTGTGAGCCTAGGTGCTAGGCTCTAGCGGCACAAATACTGGGGATACTTTTGTCTGAGCGATTCCCTGCAAGGAAATCTTCATTCTCAAGAGACCTTCGTCTCATGAGAACCTCACATCACATGCATCCGTAGGGCAACCGCGACACCTTTATTCTTCAATTTCTCTCACAAGCCTGGGGTGTCATTTCATAATTGATCTGACATCGAGATATAGTTGTCATCGCAACATGTACCTCTCATATCGCCCGAGCAAGATCGTCGACTTCAGGGCGTTGAACGAAGATGAGCATGGATCCGGACGCCGATTTTTCACCAGACGAGGCAGGTACTGGACCACACGAGGATATCCTTCTTGAATCAACAGAGGTGGATCTTCTTGGAGCAGAAGTGCTTCGAGGCTCGTCCGACGACGACGTGGCTTCTGTCAATCGTGGCCGCTCATCCCAAAAACGACGGGCATCTTGCACGGCAGTCGAACCGATTCTCAAGCGCCACAAAGGACTCTTCAACAACGCTTATCTCGATCTTCTGAATGCAGACATTGCAGATGCCGTGAACCAAATCGAAGGCGGCACGGAAGAGGAGCTGCCACCTTCCCAGATCGGCATGACATTTTGGACTCCTTTCGAGAAGAAGCTGTTCTTTGAGGCGCTCGCCAGGCTCGGAAAAGACGACCTCCAAGGGATTGCGCAGAGGATACGAACGAAGAGCGAGATCGAGGTTCGCCAATATATCGCCTTGCTCCAGGACGCGGTGGAGAGGAGAGAGCGAGAACAGGATCACCGCCTGGAATACCTTGCGGAACTGGCAGACTACCCGGCAGCTGTCGAAATCAGTCAACCATGCTGTCACGCCCTTGACGAGGCAGCTGATGCTTTGTCATTTAGGCAAGAAAGGCACGAAGAGCTCGCCGAACAGAAGAAATGGGGCGAGTGCTGGAACATTACTCCAGAGCTTGCGAGGCGCATTGAGGGGGGCCGCGGACTCAAGAAAGACCCGGATTTCGCAAATCACCATGGCCTTGAGTTCACGGAACTTCTCCGCGTCAAGGAATTCCTTCGGCTTCCGGAGGAGATCTTCATGAACGCTCCCCACGCCGAAAACAATTGGCAGTTCGTTAGTGAAGAGCCGCCAAGTATCAGAGCTACCGCACTACAGGATTTCCATTCACTTCTCGTGTCAATCACCAAAAAGATTGTCCTGACCACGCTCTTCATGGCGGAGTCTCGGATCAGGGCGAAGAGGAAGGTGGATCCCACCGTGAGGGGTCTTGTCCGGCGGAAGGATGTTGATGCGGCGGTGGCCTCGCTGGGCATGAAGCCGAACAGCAATGAATTCTGGGTTCTTTGCGCGCGTAGGCTACGCCTGGAAGTCGTGAACGATGATATTGACGTACAGGATGAAGGGGATGTTACGGAATCACTCGACGAAGAGGAGCAGCCAATGTCCTACGATGAGGTGGAACAGACTCTGCGCCAGGAGCCAGGAGCCTCTGATCCGTTAGATGCGGGTAGCAGGTCTGTGACGCCAGGATTCAAGCTTGAAACTGGCGAGTCTTCTGAGTCCTCTGAGCCCGATGACTCGGCGTCTGAGAACTCGGACAGCGAGTCGTCTGTCATGATGGACGATGCTGAGTTTGAGGTCAACGAAGAAGCCAAAGAGGTACTCAAGTACTCCGCGTATGATTTCCCAGAAACGCACCGCACAAGAGAGGCGCTGAAGCACAGGATCAGAAACGAGCGGGGACAGGAGGCTTACGCCGATGCTAAGGATGCGAAAGCATCTTACGAGGCCGAGGCAGAGATGTGGAGGCTTTTGCAACGGCAACCCCCGGAACCGCTGGTGAAGCCGACTCTAGCTGAGCGCGGTCGGAGGGGCATGAAGGACGTGGAAGATATTTACGATGTTGGTCGACGATGGAGGGAGAGATTAGCGTTTCACAGCGAGTGGGAAATGCTGGGGACAGCCAACTTGCTAGAGAAGCAGTCTTGACGTCTTCTGAAATCTGGGCTGTGAATGATTGCTCTTCCTGTTCTTGATACCCATAGACTTGGTCTTTCTAATGTAATTTTTTGGACAAACCGCACCGTCCAATGTCTACCGGGCTCTAATGCCAATAATGATGCATACTGATAGCACCGTGCTCGTCCACTGTGTGTTGTCGCGCCCTGCGACGGGTATCATAGTCCATACGCCATTCCAACCAACGACTTCATACGATTAGTGACTGTGAACCTGTTCACCGCCCCCGTGACCTTCCTCTGCCCCGTCCCCTGCCTCTTCCACGACCACGAGCAGCTCCTCGGGTCCTTGACACTGGTGCACCGCTCTCTTCAGCGCTCTCTTCCTCATCTTCTTCCTCGTCGGAGCCACTTCCGCTGTCGCTGCCTTCTTCCTCGTCCTCTTCTTCCTCTTCTCCCTCCTCATTATCTTCATCCTCTTGCTCCTCCTCGTCTTCCTCGTCGTTCTCCTCGTTCTCCTCGTCGTCTTCGGAGGAGGAGGAAGAGGAAGATTTAGTAGACTGAGCCTTTGAGTTCTTGCCAGCTTTCTCCACCTTTTCAGCTTTTTCGACTTTTTCTGCCTTCTCAGACTTCTCAGCCTTTTCCGCTTTCTCTGCCGCCTTGGCCTTGCCAGCAGCCCGCTTCTGGCTTCTGGCTACCCTGGCAGACTTTGGCGGTGGCGATGCGACGTCCGTACCGCCATCCTCCGTGTCCTCAACGGTGCTGGCGCGAGTCTTGGTGACAGTGGAAGCGCGCTTTCTCCTCCTGCTGGCCCCAGCATTGCTACCGCCAGGGGATGGCGGCGGTGGCGTAAGCTCCAACGCTCCGGGAGATGTAGGGGCTTCGCTTGGGTCTGCCAGGAGGCGCTCCAATTGCATATCGTAGAAGTCGCCAGGGGGTAGAGTAAATTCTTTGAACCGTTTATCGTAGTTTTCGTCATCTTGGGCATCGAAGTAATCCTCGCGCTGATCAATAGTCGGAAGATCGTACAAGGTGCGAAGTTTCTGCCAGATATGGGGGATGCGCGTGTGTGGACAGTCTTCCGGACCGATACCGTGATTCCGAAGGTGCTCGCTGATAGCAATCATTCTGAAATGTTTGTGCATGCCTGCAAAGAAGTGTGTTAGCTTGAGTTCGTCACTGTAAACATAGAGGTCCTCAAGCAGACTGACCCGCCGGCTTCCATCTGATGACGCCCTTGAAAAGTGATGACAACTGGTCGTCAGTCCAATGATTATTTGGCCATTCGTCTGCGGAGGGCTTGACAATCGGCGCAGCAGCTGTTGGGGTGTCGGCCGTCGGGGTGTCAACATCCATGGCATCGTCGTCGCGAGCTGGCGTCGGCGTCGCGACAGCTGAGACGCTGCTTCGCGCCTTCTTCTTGGGCGGCATCGTAGCTGCGTTGAGAAAGTTTGTGGTAGACCAAAGTGCGTATGTTTGGGGCGCTGAATGCAGCCGTCAAAATTCGCTCCGAGGTTATGAGCCGTGATGTCGTGGTTGTGAAATTGTTGAAGGTTGCAAAGGTAGAGAAAGGTGTAATTGGAGCTTCGGTCGTTGGTCGAGCTTAGTCTCAGGCACGGCAGGGTCGTCTGTCCAGAATGGTTCCATTTGTTATTTTATTTTCTGAGCCGCCAGAAGCCGACTTGTGGGGGGTAGCCACTAGCATTCATCCCAATGCAGGGGACATCTTTAGTGCTTTGTACCTGTAAAGTATGACGCGACTGGCGCGTCGCGGGGATAGGCTATGTACTCCTTGCCCAGGCTTCACTGCGGTGTGCGAGAAGGGTGCGACGACACTTACGACCTGACCTTGCGATGTCACTGTCGGCAGCCTGCACTCAAGATCTGTTTACATCAATGCTACGCCACAAGCCTTCTTCAACGATCTCATAATCATGTTCGTGCAGGACGAAACTGCCGACGTCTTTGCGATCCCAGATTTCTGGGAACCACCACAGTGGGAACTTCCCAAGGACGACAATGGTTTCTTTGCGCTTGAACTAAATGGTGGGTTTTATCAGAAGCAGTCCTTGAGTCTTTCTGACCAATACGTTCCGTAGAAACGGAAGCTTCACTACTATGGAAGCTACCCGAAGACCAGCCGAACCAGCTCTTTGCACTTCCTACGATAGATCCTGACGCGGAACGAGCCGACTCGAGCGCCGCCGATGCGCCGGAGGAAGAGCAGGAGGAACCCCTGCTTGAGAATGGCTTTGATCTTCGCGACCTATGGATGGCGCTCGACAAGCCAACGCTACGGCCGCCAGAGTACAAAACATGGAATCATTTCGAGGCACCCAACTCGTCGTGGACGAAGCCCTTTTTCATAACGGAAGCTGGCCCTGGAGCAACTGACGCTCTGATGGGTTCTGACCAAAACCCATTGAGACTCGAGAGTTCTGATTTTAGTGTGGTGGAAGCGAGACCTTACTGTAACGCGCTGTTGTCTCTGGCTCTTGGCAGAGAATCGGTCTTCTTCTCCTGGGAAGAGGAGACAACTACGTTCAAGCCGGCTCTTCCAAAGATCAGGATCTCGGGCTACTCTGGAAAGACTATCCAGGAGGTTCAGAAAGCATGCTTAAGATGTGGGAACACCTATCGGCGACTACGACAATTTGTCGAAACAACGTACAAGAAACATCCAACACCATGCCGGGTAGCTTTGGCAAGCTCTGTGGACAAGGCGCTTTTGGTCATTCAGAGCAGCATTGCCTTGCACCACCAGTCACCGAGGTCGATTCTTCAGGTCCAGTCACTCATTGGCCAAACGTACATCATCCTAAAGCAGTTCGATTCTCTAGTGGCCAAAATACGACGTGGTCATCTGGATGAGGACGTATTTGTCATTGTATACCAGCAAGCACAATCGGCAGAGTATGCCGAGATACACCTGAGAGATATGATGCGCGAGGTCTTGCGGCGGGTCTCGCGACCTTGGATTGAGTTGGTCGAGGAGTGGATTGGCACTCGACGTGAAGTCGGCGTTCCTTTAGGCAAGCATGAAGTCGGCAGGCAGAAAGGCTTTATCAAGGTCGAGTCCGAGACTTACATTGATGACTTCGGAGACGAGGTTGACGAGGTCGATTACCGTTTGGACACTGAACGGATACCCAGCTTCATGCCTGATGATATAGTCAAATCACTGTTCGAGGTCGGACGAAACCTTCGGTTCATCAGAACTACCCACCCGAGTCATCCCTTGGCACAGTCAAGAATAGTCTCGTCAAGTCGACCACCTACGCTTGAGTGGCTCTTCGACTGGGACGCCATAGTTCTTTTAGAGAGTAATGTTCACTCGTATGAGCATGAGCTGCGGGATGCTATTCAGCAACATAGCCCAGAAACGCTCACTAACCTCGAGATGCCGAGATGGCCGATGGGCGATGCAGCGGGGTACCAGCTACAGTTCTTTGGTCTCGACGAAATCCAATTGCAGAATCGACTGGAGGCATCTATACAGGACTTTGCACAGCCCATGGGCGACTCGACTGCGGAGGATCCGTTGGGAATCATCATCAGGGAGCGCCTGGCTGATGTCAGGACAGAGGTTGGAAACGCCGGTACCGACTTCACCCCTCATTGGTCTCTGCTTCCAGTTCTTTCATTCGGCTCCATCATCTCGGTCCAATCAAAGGTCGTCGGCAGAGAGAGCTTGAAGTTACTGTTCACATCCCATGACCTCAGACAGCACCTGAGCTTGCAAAAGGAATTCCAGCTCCTTGGAAACGGATTCTTCTGCAGCCGCCTCTCTCACGCACTATTTGATCCAGACCTCGAGACGGCCGAGAGACAGGCCGGCGTCGCTCATCAAGGTGGAGTAATGGGCCTAAGGCTTAGTGGTAGAGACACATGGCCTCCTGCCAGTTCAGAGCTGCGCCTAGCACTGATGGGCGTCTTGACTGAGAGTTACGAAGGCCCTGTGAAAGGGGGCTCATCTCAATCACGAGATGGCGAAGCCCATGAACTTCCCGGCGATCTCAGCTTCGGTGTGCGAAGCCTTTCCAATGAGGAGATCGATAAATGCATGGATCCGGATGGACTGGAGGCACTTGACTTTCTTCGGCTATCTTACAAGCCTCCCCAGGCATTGGGATCCATCATCACGCCAATCATACTGGTGCAGTATGATCGGATCTTCAAACTGCTGTTGCGCGTCTTGCGGATGCAGTACACAGTCAACCGGCTCTTCCGGGATGTCACAGCCAGAGAGTCTGGATGGCACGACGTTGAGGGTGTTTCGGTCCGTTTTTGCTACGAGGCTCGTCACTTTGTGGCGGGCATCAGCAGCTACATCTTCGACATTGGAATTGAGATGCCATGGCGGGCGTTTGGAAGTCTCCTGGACAAAGTAGAGGCAGACTTGAAAAGCGACGAGGTGACAAGACTGTCAGGATCGGCCATCAGTCCCGATCGCCTGCGCGAGCAGCACTCTCAGGTTCTTGATCGGATCATGCTGGCACTGCTCCTGAGGAAGAGACAGCAGCCCATTCTCAAGCTGCTCGATGACATATTCAGAGTCATACTCAAGTTTGCCAAATTCGCGAGACTCCGGGCCGACAGGCGAAGCTCTCGTAGCCAGGGCGATGCGACGGCCAAGAGCCTGTACAAGACCTTCAGACGAAACGTTGAGGTTTTCCTGACGGTCTGCAAAGGACTCAGCGAGAAGGGAGACTACGGCGGCAAGAAGGATGTTGCTGGCGACAAGGAAGGTTCAGAAAGAATCGATGCGTTGGACAACAACCCTATCGCTCAACTGGTGCTGAAACTCGACATGTTCAGTCATTATTCGAAGGCATGATGGACAAGGATTGGCGAGTCGGTTGATGCAGAGATGCCCTAGTGCTAAACAAATAAAATAAAAAATCCGTGGCGCACCAATGGCGTCTGCAACATAGAAAATACGGGTTTTCGCAAGACAAAAATTGCTGAAGTGCTGGAAATCTGGTTGACTTCATGAATGACTTCGGATGATAGAAGCTTAAAGTTAGGCAGGCCTTGTCCGGGCTGTGTTTCTACCCAAGGAGGTAGGTGAGTAAACTTATGTGCCCCGCCATATTTTGCCAGCGATGCCCTGTAGTCAGTGCCCCGCATCGCGTGTCCCACTATTGAGGTCCGCGTTTGTTGACCACTTTCCATCATTGGACGAAACACGCACCTGAACAAAACAAACGCAGCTGCTCTTGCGACCGATACTTTGCAACGGCTATACTTTGTATCGCACGCAGACAACATGTCTCGCCCAGGCCCCTCAGCACGCAACTTGACTCTTACGGAAGAGCTGGAAAAGCTCGAGCAGTCTATTACTCTGACGCTGCAAGGTAATCTGGATTCATTGAAGAACTGTTGGTTTATCAAACGACATAGCGACTGACCGAATGTGCTTCAGAGATCGACTCCAACTTCAGCAAAGCTCACCGGATCGTGACCACCAGCATTTTACCCATCGTTGAGCAATATGGCGAGAACTCTAGAAATGTTTGGGAGGCTTCCAAGGTGCATCCAATTCTTCTTTGGTTAAAGGCGAAACTAACCTGCGCATATAGTTCTGGAAGCAATTCTTCGAGGCCTCGGCCAACGTGTCGCTTTCTGGCTACGAAGAGCTCGCGAACGATGAGGACGAGACCGCGGCCATCGAGGAATCCACCGTTCAAGACGAGACGTCGGTCAACTACACCCCACGACGCGAGAACGGCACCGAAGACGAGTCGACAGCATCAGCCGCCGAGTCTACGTTTCAAGCCGAGGAGTCCGTGATCGGCGGCGATGATGACCTGACGGGTAGTACCCCGCGTCTTCCCAAGACCAAGACTATTCAGACTCAATTTTCCAGCCTCGAGTCTCCCTACGAGGCGCTCAAGCGGGAACTCAAGGGCGAGCCGCCGGCACCGCATGAAGAGGACGATGAGGACGAAGACCTTGGCATCGGCGAAGACTCGACTATTCTCTTTGCACAGCACACTGCCCGTTTGCCAGACATGTCGATGACGCCTCGAACGTCGCTCGCCCCAGCCGGTCAACAGTCTGCGCAGCCTCACAAGGACCCTCTGATGCACCGCATGCTCGACAAGACATTCCGTATCCAGGCCACACCGCACAAGGGCCCTACCTATCGCGTCTCTCCGCTGAAGCGAGAAGCGAAGCCCAAAGAGGAGGAAGATGTACCCACGTGGAAACGCCAGGACTCGCCCATGTCGTCGCCAGTTATGGCTGTTCCGACGCTACGAAGCGAGGCTTTCATGTCACCCACCAAGTCCAGGCGTCTCGCTGCAGCCACAGCAGCTGCAGGTCCCCGCACCCCCGGTGTCAGCGTCCAGACGCCTGTTACGGGCCGGAAGACCAAGGACGTCTTCGCCAGCAAGCCTATTTTCCGGAGTGCCTACGATGACGACACC